GAGAGTCATTGGCTGTCACGCTGCCAGCTTTTCACAGGAAAGTCGGTTGATGAGCGAATTAGTTTTGTGCGTAGTAGAGGACTGTGTGATAATTGTCTTGTTGCGGGACACGTGGCGATGTCGTGCCCCAAGAAAAGCTTCTGCCAGATTGTCGGATGTAAGATAGGTCATCGGAAACATTCTACGTTCTTACACCCAAAGAATGACAAACCAGTCAAAGCACCAACTCCATCAGTATCTGAGACCCAGTCGAGCAACACGGAGAATGAGAATCAGAATGGCCAAGCCCGAAGCTGTTTCACTGAAATGGTAGCATGTGAAGGAGTGTGTAGTGCGACTGGGGCCGGAGCATCAGCTACAGGACTTGCCATGGTTCCAGTTAATGTCAGAGCCGAGGGAAGGGAGAAGATGGTTCAAACCTACGCGTTTCTGGATCCAGGGTCGAACACTACATTTTGCACTGACAAGTTGATAGAACGTCTAGGTGCAACAGGTAGAAAAGCGATGCTGTCTTTAACTACCATGGATAGTGATAATGTTAAGAGTGAAAGTCTAGTGGTCAATTTGGAAGTTTCTGATCTGCAAGGACGTAATGTCGTTGAACTGTCAAATGTTTTCTCACGAGTCAAGCTTCCAGTCACCGTTGATGATATGCCGGTTCAAAGTGATGTGGAAAGGTGGTTCTACCTGAAAGATATCGACTTACCTTGCATTGATGCCGACATCGAATTGCTCATAGGTAGTGATGTGCCCAAACTTCTTGAACCTCATGAAGTGCAGAGAAGTGAAGATGGTGGTCCTTATGCCGTGCGAACACTGCTAGGATGGACCATCAATGGCCCACTCGGTAGGGCAAGTAAGGCAGCCCGTACTTCAAACCGTATCCAGTCTCATGTTGTCTTGGACCAGCAGTTTGTACGTTTCTGTGAAATGGAATTTAATGATTCGCAGTTCAGCATTGAGAAAGGATTGTCTCAAGATGACAAGAGAGCCCTTGCCATAATGGAGGATTCTGCTGAGCTCTGCGGTGGTCATTACGAAGTTGCGCTTCCTTGGAAGGTCTTCCCTCCAGATCTGCCCAACAACAAGATCGTCGCTGAACATCGTCTTGGGTTGCTGAAGAAGAGGCTGCTGAAGGATCCCCAACTTCATCGGAAGTATTCTTTATTTATGGATGACTTGTTTGACAAAGGACATGCACAGAAAGTTCCTGAAGGTCAGCGAGAGGATTCACCCTCATGGTATCTACCTCATCACCCCGTCATTCACCCACAAAAGCCCGACAAGGTCCGGGTGGTCTTTGACTGTGCCGCAAAATTCCAGAATGTCTCGCTCAATCAACAGATTTTGCAAGGACCTGATTTAACCAACTCGCTCATTGGAGTCCTAACAAGATTTAGAGAACAGCCCATAGCCATCATGACTGACATTGAGAAGATGTTTTATCAAGTGCGCGTACCAATAGAGGATAGCAGGTACCTCCGTTTCCTGTGGTGGCCGAGTGGTGAAATGGACAAAGAACCAGAAGAATTTCAAATGCTAGTTCACCTTTTCGGGGGAGTTTCATCTCCCAGTTGTGCGAATTATGCACTACAGAAAACGGCTGAAGACAATGCGGAACATTTTGATAAAGACACCATTCAGACGGTGAGAAGAAATTTCTATGTTGATGACTGCTTGAAGTCTGTGGAAGATAACCAACAGGCAAGTCGACTGGTCGATCAGCTACGTCAGTTGCTGGCCAAAGGAGGTTTCCGCTTAACGAAATGGGTTTCAAATGCCTACGATGTCATCCAGTCAGTCCCAGTATCCGAGAGAGCCAGTTCCGTTAAAGAGCTCGATCTCGAGAACTTGCCTGTTGAGCGTGCCCTCGGCATTCTGTGGGATGTCCAGTCAGATACCTTCCGTTTTAAGATTGCAGTGAAGGACCGACCCCCAACGAGGAGGGGTATTCTTTCCGTCATAAGCTCAATGTATGACCCTCTAGGGTTTGTTGCACCATTAATTCTGCCTGCGAAAGCAATTCTGCGTGATCTGTGCCGGAAGGGATTGGATTGGGATGATAGAATTCCCCTTGAAGATTTAAAGCGTTGGCAAGATTGGTTGCAGGAACTTCCAAAACTCCAACAGTTCGCCGTTGAACGTTGTTTAAGGCCCAAGAACTTTGGCCGCATAGTGTCTAGCCAACTTCACAATTTCTCAGACGCATCAGGTGAAGGATATGGTGCTGTTACTTATCTTCGAGTCGTCAATGAAGCTGGAAATGTCCATTGTGCCTTTTTGATGGGGAAGTCGAGACAAACACCCCAGAAGTCAGTTACTATTCCTCGTCTGAAGCTTTCAGCTGCTGTGGTTGCCACCAGATTGAATAAGATGATGCAACATGAGTTGGATGTAGCACTAGAAGAAGAGTTCTTTTGGACGGACAGCACGTGCGTGTTGAGCTATATTACGAACAAAGAGAAGAGATTTCAGACGTTCGTCGCGAACAGAATTACAACAATCCATGAAGGATCGCGACCAGATCAGTGGAACTATGTTGACACAGATTCCAACCCAGCTGACAATGCGTCCAGAGGGCTTTCAGCTGAAGACATCATCCACCAAAGCCGCTGGATTAATGGCCCTCCCTTTTTGTGGGAAGCAGAGGACCGCTGGCCTAAGCGACCTGAAATTTCTGTGGAAATAAAGGCAGATGATCCTGAGGTGAAACGGGAAAGGAAAACTTTCTCAGTAGCGTCTACAGTTGAAGCTGATTTCTTAAACCGAGTAGTGCAGTCCTGTTCCTCGTGGTATAAGCTTAAGAAATTGATGGCATGGATCTTGCGTTACCGTTCTAATCTTCCGCGCGAGTGTCGCAGGCGGAAGGAAGGCACAGCTAAAGTACTCGTCTCCGAAATACCCAGTCCCATCAGTGTAGAAGAAATGCACTCTGCTGAGATAGAAGTCTTGAAGTATGTACAAAGGCAATGCTTTAGAGAAGAGTTGGTGTGTCTGCAAGGTAAAGAATCAAAAGTTGAGCTCAAGAAATCCGTCCGAGCCAGAAGAACAGGTTCCGTCAAGAAATCAAGTTCAATCGCCAAGTTGGATCCTGAGCTGCGCGATGGCCTGCTGTGTGTGGGAGGAAGATTGAGGCATGCACCAATTGAACAGGAGCAAAGACACCCTGTAGTACTGCCTAAGAAACATCATGTTGTAGATTTGATCGTCAGGCATTATCACTTGCTTTCTGGACATTCTGGTCAAGAATATGTGCTCTCTTTGATCAGAAAGAGTTACTGGATTATCAAAGGAAGAGCCGCGGTGAGAAGAGTTGTAAACCGTTGTTTTAGCTGTAGGCGAAGACAGGCTCCGTTTAAAACTCAGAAGATGGCAGATCTTCCTGCTGACAGAGTCACACCTAACAAACCCCCGTTCAGTTTTGTGGGCGTTGATTGTTTCGGTCCGTTTTGGGTCAAGAGGGCTAGAAGTCAAGTTAAGCGTTATGGAGTCTTGTACACGTGTTTGCCGACCAGAGCCATACACTTGGAAGTCGCCCAGAGTATGGACACTGATTCGTTCTTGAACTCCATGCGCCGCTTTATCGCAAGGCGAGGTGTTCCTGAAGTAATGAGGTCGGACAACGGTTCAAAATTTGTTGGCGGGGGCAAGGAACTCCGAGAAGCTATCTCTGGTTGGAACAAGAGTCAGATCCATGAGTTCCTCTTGCAAAGAAATGTCAAGTGGCTGTTTAACCCACCATCTGGGTCCCATTTCGGTGGAGTGTGGGAACGTTGTATTAGAACTGTCAGAAAGATTCTCGTTGCACTTATGAAGGAACAGCCGCTGGATGATGAAGGGTTGACTACCCTCATGTGTGAAGTGGAGTCAATTGTTAATGGGCGTCCCATAACGAAGTCATCTGATGACCCGTCAGATTCCGAAGCTCTCACGCCGAGTCATTTGCCGTTGCTACGGTCAGGCCCAAGACTTCCCCCAGGTGTGTTCAGGAAAGAGGATGGCTATTCCCGAAGAAGATGGCGCCAAGTTCAATATTTAGCCGACGTGTTTTGGCGGAGATGGATTAGAGAGTACTTGCCACAGTTGCAAGAGAGGCAGAAATGGACTTATCCGTCAAGGAACTTCGCCGTTGATGACATAGTACTTGTGGTCGACGATAGAGTACCGAGATCATCTTGGCCTCTTGGTCGGATTACCAGTGTGCGCAAGAACAGCACTGATGAACATGTGAGGAGTGTAACGGTGAAGACCAGAACCTCGCAATATGATCGCCCTGTCGATAAGATCGTTCTCCTGGAGTCAGTGGAGATGTCAGAGGGAATGAAGCAGTGCTGAACTGAACTATGATCCGAACTTTGTATATGTTTGGAGAACTGTTAGATTTAACGTTTTGTTTCGGTCAAGTTTCCTTTAAAATCCTTTGCTATTGCCTACGATTTTAGGGGCCGGAATGTAGGTTTCAAAACGTTCTTCTTGTATCTGTTAAGTTTTTCCCGTCTTTAGCCCGCGCGGGACTGGTAGAAGAACTACGTCATTTATATGTCGTTGTAATATTATGGTCTGGCGCATGTGCTCGCTCGAAAATCTTGAGGTAAAGTTCTAGTTGAGTTCTGTTCGTTTACACGGCCTAAAGTCTTTTCACGTTTCCTTCGAGCCTTCAAATCCTGTAAGTATGTTGTCGCTAAGTATTTTCATCTTTCTTCCTTTTATTCACACTCGTTTTGTTTTTCGTAGTCTAACCAGATCCTTGTAACGAATCTTTGGTCCGAATCTCCTTGGAATAAATTCATATGAACATTTAAGTCTACAATGATGACAAGTACGTGTGAGCCAAATGCGACTGTTCCGTAGCCAGTTTCCACCCCTCCATTTCGGCCCATAGTTTCCTCCATAGGCACCTACAACTACAGCTTGGCCAAATACTTAAGTAATCTCGGCCAACCTCATATTCCGTCCACATTCATTGCTTCAGATTCCTCAATGATCTATCTTTGCATGGGATGTTTATGGTCTCCTTCGATGTTGAAAGCCTCTTCACCAACATACCTCTAGATGATTGTATTAACCTTGCCGTCAAATATATTACTGAGGGTAATCCAGGGTTGAAACTTAGTAAAAATGAGCTTAAAAGGCTGTTTGAGTTTGCTACCAAGGAAACCCACTTCCTGTTCAAAAGTAACTTCTATGATCAGGTGGATGGTGTAGCCATAGGGTCCCCCCTTGCCCCTGTTCTCGCCAATCTCTTTATGGGTCACCATGAGAATATATGGTTGGATCAATACGGGGATTCAGAGGTGTTATTCTATCGTCGCTACGTAGACGATACATTTTGCCTTTTCCACTCTGAACGGGATGCAACCCTTTTCTTCAATTACATCAACAAACAACACCCCAATATACGCTTTACAATGGAGCGGGAAACTGACCATGTTTTACCTTTCCTAGATGTTCTAATCAACAACACTGACCCACACCACCGTTTACCGGAAAAAGACTTTTACAGGTCTGCTCACCAGTTATCTGAGTTTTTGCCCCTTTATCTACAAATTGGGGTTAATCAAAACCTTGATTCATAGAACTTTTAAGATAAACAACACTTGGATGGGGTTCCATACTGACCCTCAAAAATTGTCTGTCATTCTGCGGACGAATCTCTTCCCTGAGAACCTTATGAACAAATATATTTCTAAATATATCCAGACAGCAGTCAAGGGAGGGAAAACACAGCCCTATTCAGGAGTCGAGCCCCAGGAAACACCTAAGTTCTTCTTTAAAATCCTTTACGTTGGGCACTTCTCATTCACGGCACAGAGGACTAGTAACTAGTCATATGTTTTAAGTTTCGCACAGACATTTTATCTATTCTTTGTCTAGTTGAAAGACGCGTTGCAAGAGAATTTAGAGCTCAACTGATTAATTTAAGTCATCGAACTTTGTTTGCCCAGGATTAAATCGAGTGATGACACTACGCACGCTGTGGTCTATAAATTTCTGTGTGCAAGTTGTAATGCTTGTTATGTTGGTGAAACCAGCTGACACTGGCTTCACACGAGTGCGCGAGCACTTACTTTAAGACAGGTCTTCGAACGTTTTTAAACATCTGCAGAGTTCATAGTTTTGTAGAGCATCCTGCTCACCGGTTGCTTCGCGATCCTGTACTCTGCAGCCACTAAGTACCTAGTGAAGCTTATAAAATGGGAGAAGCCCCATCTCAACCAGCAGGTGAAACACATTGACCTGACTCTCTCCCTGTAAAGAACTAAGCGTCACTCATTTAATTTTGTTTTAGTACGCAATATTGACAACGCAATGTAACGAACTTTGTAAGATCGCAATAATTTATCTTAATTAATATATCTTAGTAATATATCTTAGTCAATTACTTTGAGGCAAAGTAAAAGAAATTAAACCAAGGAAAAAATGAACCACAACCGATATGCAAAGCATCTGAGTTTATGTATAGTAAGTTTCTATAACCAACCAACATGGCTTCGACTTAATGTTAATTAACTATCTTTTATTTTCACCTATTGTCAATATAATCCACCAGCTTGACTTAGAATAAATAGAATAAATAAACGGAATAAATATTATCTAAAATATAGATTTTTCTGGGATAAAACCATGAACTGCTCTTCCTCTATTAGACTAGATGCTCGTTTATTACATATTACACGCAACGTTGAAGAGTCTGCTAAAAGAACTGATCTGAAATATAATACCGTAAAATTCTGAAAATAAGCCCCTCCATAAAACCCCTTCAAACAGAAGGCCCCCAAACTCGTAACGCAAAAAACCCTCCGTTAAATCACTCCTCCAAATATAAGCTCTCCCGGGGGGCTTGTACTTGGAAACTGCCCTCAAATACAAAGTAAAATAAAGCAAAAAGGGTAAATTTCCTTCCAACTACAAGGCTAGCCCAATCGATTTTGAAACGCAAATTTCCCTAAGCAAATAAGCCCCTCCAAACATACACCCCTCAAAAAGGGCCTTTGAAAAATATAAGCCCGGGGGTTTAGTTTCGGAATTTTACGGCATAGTAACTGAATAGACGATAACCTCGAATACGCAGAACTCTAATATCCTCCACTATCAACTGCAATGTTTTGACAATGTGTTTCGCAGTATTTCCATAATAGCGTGTCGAATAGGTCTCATCTTCCAGGCGTAGATGAACGGATTCAGTGAAGAATTCAGATGGACTAGGGTCACAGCATAGATGATTAGAATTTCCTCCGCAACAATTGGTTCATGACTGGATACCATGTTTGCAAAATGAATAGAATAACGTGGTAGATAACATAACAAAAAGACGATATATACATAAAATGTAGCGATCGCAGATTTTCTCTGGCTTGCTGTGTTCTGCAAAGTGCTCTCAACGTTTTGTGATGCTTGTTGCACTTGCAGTGTATGAATTTGGCTTGTGAGATGACGCACTGTTAAGTAAATCTTGAAATAAAAAAATGTTGTAGAAATAAAACAGACAACAACAATCGCAAGGAGAGTAGCTTGAGCAGCCGTCATCATTTTGTCCCAGAGATCAAAGAGAGAAACAGTTGCACTGAACACCCAGATCGTGATGACTGCAGTGACAATACGCCTGTGAGTTACAAGTTCTTGGTATCTAAGATGAAGGTGAATGGCCAAGAATCTGTCGGCGCCTAAAGCTGTTATATTTAAAAATGAGGCTGCAGTAAAACAAATCCCAAAAACCTCAGATGCCTTCTCAAACTGGAAAGTATATTTATTGTTTTGAGTTACCAGCGTTGCTATGGCTAGCGGTTGCACAATTAATCCAACAGCAAGATCAGAAACAGCAAGGCTCAATAGTAATATTCTTACGGGCTTCGGCAACGAAGAAATTTTTCTTAACACATATATGGTTATAATGTTCAGCGTGACTGCAGTATAAGAAGAGAAAATGTTTAAAATGACTACTATCAATAGCGCGGGTGAAATTTCCTCAGCGTCTGCCATTGCCTAATTGGTAGAAATATGTCAGTTCCTTTGGTACTGTTGATAGTTACTGCTAGCGGACGAAATCATGGATTTAAACATTCCTAGATCAAACTTCGCCTACGTTATGCTTCCTTCCTTAACCGTACCGTTCACTCGCTTGCAGCAAAAGAAACGCTAATCTTATCAACACAGACTGTTAACTTTTATTTCTCTCGGCGTGTCATTTTTGACAGCTGTTTTGTCATAGACTTTCTTGAAAGTGCAAACTAATTTGAATATAAGAATAATTGGAAAGCCTTGAGGCACCAGACACGTCCATTTAGAAGGATGAGATGAAATTATTTACTTTCATCTCTTAGAGGGAGGTCTGTTGGCCTCGTTTAATTTTTGTTTTGTGCTCATATAACTTATTATGAAGACAGTGTGAAACAAGTTATTTTCGGCTGGAAATTTCCCGGCGGTTAAAATTACTATCAGAAAAAAAACACAATTATTAAGACGGAAATGAAAATTTGTCAGAGGTTTAGTTCGTACTTAGAGGAAAGTGTAGTTGAACTCCTTTCTAGCGTTCAGTTAAAGAAGTCATCGTAGTTAAGAGCGAGAAGAAAAGCACGTTTCGCTAATGTATGAGCACCACATTAACTATCTCGCATATACGATTTACAGAACGCAATACAATATTAGCATGTTTCCCTTGTGTTGAAAGTTGTCTATTTCCAAATTAAAAAGAAAAAAGTGACGGGAAAACAACAAAGTTTTTTAGTACTATCTTCCAAAAGTAATGAAGCATATTTTTAATGCAAGATCTTAGCGTATGCTTCGTAAATGATTGAGTCAACCGTTTTAACCTAAAAGGCAGCTGAGGCAACAGAATAATATATCAAAAAAGTCCCGCATGCATTTTAATTGCCAATTAAAACCTGGTTGCCATTAATGGCCCGCGAGCTCTTATGCGTGGGACATATCCCAGACGATCAAAAACACCTCAGTCAGAGAGGCACAGCTTACTTCTTTTGTTTTATTTGGTTTTGTTACGAAAATGGCACCAATCGGGGCCTGAGATGCCAAGGATTATCCCCGACTACAGCTGATGAGGTGATGTTCGGTAAAGAAATATCAAAAAGTATCAAATGTTTAAAAAAACCACAAACGTTTCGGGTTTATGACCCTTCTTCAGCGTACGAAAACTGACTGCCCTTTGAGCTGAGGCTCTCCTTTTGCCTGGAGGAAAAGAGGGCTAAACTTCGGGGGAGACGAGTAGAGGGGAAGTGGGCCTTAAACTAGCCTCTTTCCCTATCTTCGCCACCAAGGGTCCTGGTCTCAGGCTATGCCAGAAAATAAAACGTTTTCATCAAGCATTTTCTTGTTCGGCAGCAGCGTCGCAATGGTCGGGAAAGTAGATTCAGATTCAGCACTTCCGATGACTCAGACCGCATGCCGCAGACCAGCGTTGTGTAATGCTGATAGATATCTCCAGTATAAATAAAGCTTTTATTATTATTATTACTATTATTATTATTAAGTGCATAATCAGGCCTAGAGCTGCCATCACAAAGGGTTTATTGTAGCTGTTCTAAATAACCGTGTAAACTTGCACTTAGTTTGTACCACAAATAGATGACAGAGGGACTAATATCTACTAATTTTACATTATTTTATATAATTGATGGATTTTTCTTTTATTAATGCTTTGATGGCTTTCATCAATCTTCTGAGTGAAACAAAATATTGATAAGCCCTCTCCTAGTTAGCTTTACTTTAGAAAGAAAACAAATTGAATGAAGAGCCATCAAAATTTAATAAAAAGCTTGAGCAGTTAAAAAAACCCATTCAAAATTGCTTCAACTGAAAGGGATTATTTTAAAGTTACTTCCAGAGTAAACTTTGAGTCCATTTCGCAAAAACTTTTTGCGGAATGGACTCAAATTTAAGACACTTCCTGTCATGACTAAACGGATTACTATGCAAAGTCTTCGCCTGTTTTTGGGAAAAGGAAATTGAAAAAAATATATATATATTATATATTCAATTTCCTTTTCCCAAGAACAGGTGACGACTTTGCATAATAATCCGTTTCATCATGACAGGAAGTGTTTCGTTCTCCACCTAATAATGTCGGAATATCGCCTTTGTGGGATCAGAGTTTGACTTAAGTTTGTCCTTTCTAAGCGGCAAAAAACAGATTTTAGTCCTGCATTAATAATTTCAAAGGGTTTTCTCAAAAACAGACACCGATTTAAATTTTAAACCTTATCTTTTCTAGCTGGCTTTCTTTTTTCAATAATTTACTAGTTCATGAATTTCGCCGTTTACAGGTACTTTGCATATTCGTTGAAAATCTTTAGCATTCAGTGACCTGATTATTCCCTTCCGGCTTTAGGTACAGTATACAACGGAAGATTGAGCATGGCTCTCTGATTGTTAGACAGCCTATAAGGCACAGCCAAAGGTAACCTGAGATCAGGCCCAATTTTAGCGGTTCTCATACATTCTCTCTAACGGCTACCGCTAAAATTGGGCCTGATACAAACTCTCTCACGTTTGTGCTCGTTACGGCCAGATTTTGGCCGTAACGCTGATTGGCTGTTAGAACAATACCACAAATTCTGATTGGCTGTCGGAAACGCCGGAAGTTGAAAGCGCTTATTACTCGCGTGGTTGTTTTCGTGAATGATCCGTCGTGGGCGGAGAGAAGGATCGATTTTGCCGTCTTTTTTTATTGTTATATGATCTTATGGTAGGAAAATATGCTTTAATATGTGCCATGGAAATTCAGAAAAATCATATGGTTGTTCATATATTCTCAGGATTTGCTTCATTAACAGAACTAATGTCAGTGTTTCGCGGAGTTGAGTCCCTCTGCAAGTTGTTGACCGCTAACAAGCTGCCTTTTGATTTACCAACAAACGAGTGCAAATCAAAGTACTGTCCATCTTAAAACTGGTTTCATCTGAACGTTTAGCCGGAAATGACTTCTCTGAACGGGGTACGCAAGCGGAGGCTCACTGCCAAAGAAACCTCAATCGCCAAATGTGAAGTATTAGACGAAAAATATCGCATCGCTGTTCAAGGAATTTTTGTAGGCGTTATTATAAAAGCTGGTGACTTAAGATAACAGACTGGTTGTTTGCCTTCGCTTTTTGTAAAATATAAACCAGGAAAACTGGTGTCCTCGCTCATTGGCTGTTTGCTTTTGTTTTTAAAGACTTATGTACTGAAAATCGGGGAAAATTGCCGAGGAAAATATTAAGGCAACAGAAAAATAGAAATTTCAGTATTTAAAATTCGAGCACGCCAAGCCAAAATAAACATAGGCACGTTAAACGTGCATGAGCTATTTTGAATGCGTCAGTGTAACTTTAATGCTTCGGCGTAACCTTACCAAGAGTGATGAATCTACCTCTTTCATCTAAATGTAGATTGGGTTTTTGTGCGAAATTGCGTATTGCAGTACATAAATGAAAACGCGAAACGCTCAGCTGAGTCGATCCTAAAGCTATATATTCACTTTCCTCTGTCTGGTGCAAGTTCAACAAATAAAGTGAAATAAATTTCTACTCACCAAACGTTGATTAGAAGGAAAACTCTAAGGTTTCCTCGGAGTTTCTTAAGCCAAAATGTGACTCACCGAATACTGAATAGTTACGAAATACCAGGATTTTTATCATGGTGGTAGATGGTTGCACCATCATAATTCACGAGGTTTTCACGTGCGATTCTGCTCAGTGAAACAGTCTTTAACTCCGACAACTTATTTCTTCATGTTTTAAAAGCTATTGCTTCTCAAAAGACAAGAGCCTTTTTTAAGGCATTGGTTACAAAACCAAACAGGTCTTCATACGTCCAAGTTACTATTTATCATTGTGAAAAGCCAATCTGCATGAGATGTACAGTCACACAGCTGGCACGTGAAAGTGTTGGACTTTGCCCCCTTTCGTCGTTCGTACGTGAGGGAATTCGAGTTATCACACAGTAAACTAGTAAACAGAATTATAAAAATAACTCACACACAATTTGCACGTGAAGATGTTGGTCTTTCGCCCTTTTACAATTCGTACGTTAAAAAAAGGCAAATTCTTTACTACAAAATTTTCTCAAACGATTTTAAGAAATCACCTCGGCTTCATTATAACGTCTGCAATTAAATTATGTTTCATGCAACGTCAAGGTTGATAACCTAACATTTATTAACATTTGTGAAACAGTCTTTAACTCCGACAACTTATTTCGTCATGTTTTAAAAGCTATTGCTTCTTAAAAGACAAAAGCCTTTTTTAAGGCATTGGTTACTGAACGAAACCGGTCTTCATACGTCCAAGTTACTACTATTATTGTGAAAAGCCAATCTGCATGAGATGTTCAGTCACACAGCTGGCACGTGAAAGTGTTGGACTTTGCCCCCTTTCGTCGTTCGTACGTGAGGGAATTCGAGTTATCACTCAGTAATCTAGTAAACAGAATTATAAAAATAACTCATGCACACAACTTGCATGTGAAGATGTTGGTCTGTGGCCCTTTCACAATTCGTAAAAAAAAGAGGCAAATTGTTTTGCTACAAAATTTTCTCAAACGATTTTAAGAAATCACCTCGACTTTATTACAACATCTGTAATTAAATTATGTTTCATACAACGGCAAGGTTGATAGCCTAACATTTATTAACCTACAAGAAAATTATCAAACTGCCAAAATATATTTCTACTTATATCATGTTACTCCACTCAATATAACAGTATCTAATTATTGTGTCAACTAGCTTCTTCCAATTTTATTCCCTAACGCTACTGTTTCTACTTAAGTTACGCATCTTTACTAAATAGAACGAAAAAGGTCGGTTGATCTTTGTAAGCGAGAGAATAATATTTTTAAAGCTTATTTACAGGATTAACAATACTCGATACAGCTTTCAAAAAAATAAGCTACCTTTTAAGCTTCTAAAACCACGTTTTATAGGGCGCATACTTTCGAATTAAAGTCTATATTACTTCACTGGAAGAGATTTGAAAATATATGATCTT